CTAATGTTGGTTAGCAACCAACATTTTGAGTTGCCTGTTGCCATTTCTTATAAAATTCTTTCCTTTTAGAGGAATTCTTGCATAATTTAATTATTTTTCCTTATAGGTACAAGAAATAACTTGTGCAAAAGTAATATTTTAAGTTATTGATAACATTCACAATTTTACTTTCAGGTAAAGCACACATTGATATATGCGCCTTTAGTTTTTTGACTTGCTATTTTTTACAAAAACAAAGTCTTAAAAGATATAATAAAAACTTTTCACAAGTAATTTGAAACCCTTTGCCTTTAATTTGTTGTAATTATTAAGATCTTATTTGTTACAGGAGCCTGAAAACTGTTTAAATTTTTATCTTAGTAATAGTTCTTTGTGACTAAACTTTATAAAGACAAAAATAACTTAATCTTTGAAAGTTATCATATTTGTATTCCTTTTTAAATAATAATTTTTAATAAAATCAATGCATTTTTTAAATAGAATCTCACAATAGTTAACATTCAAATTACCTGCTAATATTAACAGTTTGAAATAACTCTCACACCCTCAGATTTCAATTAAAAAAAGGAAGTTTGATAACATTTATGTAATTTAGCGTTGATTTTTTTTTTTTAATTCTAAAATAATTTAATAATTTTTAATTTATTCAAAAATAATTCATTTATTGCAATGAATTCGCAAATGGCAAGAAAAACTATGAGAAAAATAAATGAAAAGGTGGAATGAAAAAAAAAACAAAACAAAGTACAGTTGGAAGATATAATGTTCTTAGTTACATACAACAATTTCAAATAATATTTAAATAAGAACATCAATTTTTAAAGTTAATGGCGCTTTACAGAAGACAAATGATTGCACATTTTTATCTTTGCGCATTAAAATAATTTTAAAAACTTCTAATGATAATTAGTTAATGATAATGATAATGTTATTAACTCTTGTTATTTACTTAATACTAAGACAATCATTTTATGTAACACTAATAAAAATTACAAATGTTACATAAAACTAGATTTTAAAATTAAGTTAAATAAATGTTAGATGAAATGAGATTTTAACTAAATATACACATTTCATACTAAATATTTTTAAGAATCTTATTATAGAAAAAAAAATTGTTTTCTATAATAAGATTCTTAAAAATAAGTATATTTATATATTTAAAATTGCAGTTTACAAAAAATACAAGAAAATATGAGATTTCAAGAAAAAAAAACTAAATGCATTTGAAAGAAAAAATGATAGTTACAGCAATTTTATGTATTATTATATTATTATTAACAGGGCTGTGGAGTTGGAGTCGGAGTTGCGGACTTGCGACATTTTTAGCGGAATCGGAGTCGCTAAACAAAATTGTGACTCTAACTCCAATAGTAAAACTTCTTTGTAGTACACGTGCATGTACAAAACATTCAATTAACCTTATTTCATACTAAACCTCAAAGAACGTTTCATAAATTTGTCAATAAAATTTTTTTAACTTGTCACATGATATTTTTTAAAGAATTCAAAGAATTTTTCAAAAAATTTCCTTTAAAGTTAGAGTTGGAGTTGGATTCGGAGTTATTACTTTTTTTTCATGACTCCACACTCCTGATTATTAAAATAGTATATTATTTATATAATAATATTTTTATTAAAATAATAAAAGAACTTGAATGGAAAAAATTTCTTTAACACCAGTAAAGTGAAAATAACCTAAATAAGTGTAGCAAAAAAAAGTAATAAAGTTTATGTCGCATATTTTATTCGTTATTAAGGTAAATTAAAGTAACATATTGTAAACAGGTGGAATAAGTAACAAAATTTTGTACTCAAGTAAAAGTACCGTTACTTGAGTGAAATTTTACTCAGGTACAAGTTACTGGTCAAAATGTTTACTTAAGTACAAGTAAAAAGTGGTGCATTAAAAATGTACTCAGAATAAAATTTACCATGTTACTTTTTTAACAACCATTTTCAGGTAACCTGTCAAATAACAAAATATAAACAACATGTTCTATTTTTTTCTATATATATTTACAATTATTTTATCTCATTTTATCAGTTAAAGCATGTTTTTTTTTTTTTTTCATTCTTGCAAAATTTTCAGAAACATATAGAATTGGCAAATTTATATTAATGGCACATATAATTATATTTGTAAAGATATATACCCAATTAAAAAAATACTTTAAATAAATAATTTTTTTTAAAAAACAAAACATGAAAAATAAAGTTATTTTTCATAGTTTTTTGTATAAAATGTAAACAGTAAACCTAATTTTCTTTTGAAACTCTTTTCAAATTTTCTTTAAAAGAATAATTAAAATTTGAAATAAAAGTGAGACACTTTTTTTATTTCTTCGTAAATTCACTTAAAACTTGAATGAAAACTTAAGTTAAAAGTAGTCATTTTTTAAAATACTTAAAAAGTAAAAATTTACAAAAAAGCTCAATTACAATAACGCGAGTAAATGTAATTCATTACTTTCCACCTCTAATTGAAAACAATTAAAAAAAAAATTTAGCGCTGGTCATCTTTTTCAATTTTTAAGTATAGTCACACTTAAAAATTGAAAAAGATATTTGTTAAGACATATGTATAGAAAAACTTTTTTAGTATGCAAATCACAAGTTTGTGGGATAATCTACCATCTGAAATAGTATGTTCAACATCTATGAATGAGTCAAGTTCTCTTTAAACTTAAATCATGCCCAAAGTAACCTAAAATATTAAATATTAATCATACCATCCCTACCACCTAATTGTTTCAATACATCTTTCACAAATTTTTGTGGTATTTGAAGTAACCTTCCATTAATTGAACTTACAACCTTCATCAGACTTGCTTGCTCTTTGAGAAACTAATTTAAATTTAGCTGTTTCTTCTTCAGATCTTAGTATTGATGGGTACTATCCTTTGATTCACAAAAACTCAAATAGTCAAATGATTGGCTTGGGGATATGTTTACGTATCTATTCACCTATATGTCGTGAAATCAGGTTTGAACCCCTTGACCATTCTTTTATGTGGTTCTGCTTAGCACCTCATCACCTTTCACTTCATTCCTTATTGTTCTCCATTTTCTCAAGACTGTTCTCTTTTAGATGTAATTTCTGATCAATTTGACCATGTGCTTTCTTTTTACCCCTCTGTCAATATTGTTTTTATCTATAATCTATATGCAATAATCTCTATAAATTTTTCATCTTGTACTTCTTCTTTGGACTCACCATATCATCGCACTACCTACAACTACCATAAAGCTTTTTTCTCTTCCAGTAACTTCTAACTTTAATAGTGGTTGCTTGCAGCCTTTTTGGAAGTGAAGATGTTGAAAAAAAAAAGGGACTGGGATTCTTTTTGTTATTTTTTTTGTGATGGTCCTTGGGCTGATGTCTTTTCTCTCTTCACTAATAAATGTCCCTCCTACATAACCTCCTGGATCCAGGCAGGAATGAAAGCTTTTTTTCCTATTATTTGGTTCTGTTAAGTCTCATTTTAGTCCATAGTTTTTACCTCCTTGTGCACCTGCTAAATCTAATCGAATTCATTTTTTTATCTTTTTCTTAAAATAACTTTCTTGAAAACAAACACTTATTTATTATTGTAAAAAATCCATGTGAAAAGGTCTATTATTTCCTGCTCACTAAATTTCGTACCTTAACGGGTGATGCATAAGCTATCAGACAAAATAAAAACGTCAATAACTTATTTATAAATGAAAAAAAAGATATTGTTATATTTTTTTAAAATAAAGTCATTATCTTTTAATAAAAATAAGTTATTTTTTAAATGAAAAAACACCATCTGCAATTATTTCAATTTTGCTTTGATGCCTTTCATAAGCGATTTTAAAAAATTTAAATTGACCCGTAGTTTTAATTTAATCCGATCAATCAAAACTTGCTCTGTTGAAGCTTGCAAATCTCCCTCGTAAACCTTTTGTGCCAATTGTCCCCAAAAGTTTTCAATTGGTTGTGCTTGAGGCACATTTGGGGATTGGATTCTTTATCAAGTAATAGACACATTGGTTCATCCAATTTTGAGAATCTTCAGAATAATGAGAACTTGCTAAATCTGGCTAATATAAATTGTCTTCATGATACTTGTGAATGAATGGAAGACGTTGCTTTTCATTTCTCTTCTTCATTTTTTAATTAACTTTTGGGGTACCTCAAAGTTCTATCTTTGGTCCTGTTTTGTTTCTTAACTACATTAATGATCTTCCTGACAACCTTACATCTAAAGTGGCTTTATTTGCTAATGACTCAAATTTATACTTATGTCTTGACAAAAAGTCTTCTTTTTTTGATCGCTTAGAATAGGCAGCTGATCTTGAATCTGATCTTACTTCTGTAACAGATTATGGCTTGCAGTGGCTTTTTAATTTAACTCCAACAAAATTTACTGCAAACAACTATTGCAATACTGTCTACATTTTTATATTGATGAATAGCATCTCTCTTACTGAGTCTTCTTCTTCATTTCATTTTTATATTGATGTCCTCTTCTTTATGTCTTCTTGGATTATTGTTCACTAGTGACCTCTCATCGAAACCATATATGCAATCAATAGCAAAGTTAGCATTATTATTATTATTACATCTGCTAAGGTTGCTTCTCTTTTTTGTGCTCACCATTTTCTTACTCCTGATTCCTTACCTATATAAATACTCTTATTTGCCCCTGTATGGAATACTGTTATCATACTTGGGCTGTTTCTTCAAATGATATTTTTTCTCTTTAAGGCAGGGATGGGGATGGGAGAGATAAAGCTCTCAATGGCTGGTGATAAAACTCAATTTTTTTCACCTAATTGTTATTGCAACAATCTAGATCTTCCTATATATTTATGAATGATAATGTACTTGATGAGTCATATACCATTCCTCTTGTAGGATTAACTCTTATCATCTTTCTTGCAAACCATATATCAAATCCATTAACATTTGCTTAGGTTCTATTCTTTATCTCTATAAATCTTAAATTCTTACTTGTATGGAATAATGTTGCCATATCTGGGGCAGATCTTTCATTGATACTCTTTCTCTTTTAGACAAAGTGCAAAAATGCAATGTAAACATAGTTAAACCTGCTCTTGCAGCCAACCTCCAACCATTATCACACCATCATAATGTTGCTTCTCTTTCTCTTTTCAATAAATACTGTAATGGACACTGCTCTAAAGACCTAGCCTCTCTTGTCCTATCTACTAAAATTTATTCTTGTGTTACTTGTCATTCAATTAAGCTTCATCCTTTTATTGCAACTGTTCCTAATTAACCCAAAAACGTTTTTTCATTTAGTTTTTTTTCCTCGAACATCAATTTTTTGGAATTGGTGTCCTTTATTTTTTTTTTGCTGATTTATATAATTTGCAACATTTTAAGTTGTCTGTTAATCATTATCTTGCTTTATAAACTTCATCTTTTCTCTTCCAGTAACTTCCAATTCTAATAGTGGTTGCTTGCAGCCTTGTTGCAATAGTGAAGATATTAAAAAAAAGATAATTATAATAAATTTAACAAAAATTAAAGGAAAAGAAACAGTGTATGTAAACTTAAATTGCTTTAAAAAAGCGGATTGCAAACAATAACTTTCTATTATCTGATATGAACAATGTTATGAATATTTAGTTGAGCCGAAAAAAAAAGTTTATTGAATCTGAAGTAAAAAAAAATCCAAATAATACAAACTATTCCTATGTGGAATCTAATTGTTCCCTGATGATGCAATATAAAATTAGGTCGCCAGGAGTTGGTAGTTTTACCATTATACATTATAATCATTATACAAAGGCTTTAGTTTTTATATTTATTGTTTGCAAGCTCATTGGAAAATACTTATTTGTAATTTTTAATTAAATAAAGTTAAAAATTTAATATGCTTTATTGAAAACATTTTAAATTTGAATTTGAAATAACCTTGATTCAAAAGTTGTACATTTGTTCCCATTTGATGTCAGTTTGGCAAAGATGTTAAATATATGGTTAAAACTGCTTCATATGATAACCATTGCTATACATTTTCCAAAATCTTTGCTGAAATTAGAAAAAGATAATTCAAATGAATTGTGTTTTTTTTATGAGCATTTTATTTAATGGAGTCATTTTAAACCTTTGTTTGAGTTTGAAGGTTTGAAATTTGCAAACTTTCAAGGAAACATATCAAATTTCATTGCCACAAAATATGCATGTTGTAATGAATGAAGCAAGTTTGATAGAAAGATAAGTGAATATTATTTCAGAATTCTGATTTTTAAATATGCCCAAAAATATACTACTAAAGACTTTAGTAAATTGCTAAGAAAGACATCAATTGGTTAAAGACAACAAATGAATCAGTTACTACAAGGATTGTAATATTCAACGATTGTAATATTTTATATAATTAAAATGTTTATTTTAATTATATAAAATATATTGCAATGTTTTTGTTTAAAATCCTAAATTCAAATATTTTTTTAAAAATATATATATTCTTAAATGTGTGTCTATAAAAAGTTTTAGTCTTTCAGCTGTTACAATCTTCTTTGACCAACACAAATTTATATTGTCTGTTGGCCACCAAATTTAACATCTCTAATCATCTTCAGTTCCAACAGTTTGACTTTAAAATTGCTTATCTTCTTTTACTTGATAATGATCGCTAAAAGTTTTTTGATATAATAATGGCTTCTAACACGTTATGTAATGTTAAATTGGCTTCACTAAAAACATTGTTTTATCCTAATAGATTCTTCACAATAAGTTATACATTTTTGTTTGACATAACTGCTTTTGTAAACCATTTTGATATACCAATACACTTTTTGCTTGACATTACAAAATTACTTGTGTATCCATCTTTTAATCAACAAAACAAAACAAGCTATCATCAAATTTAAAAATTAATTTTGAATGAAATTAATAACTTAATAGGAGCTAGTTTTTCAATTGAATGGTTTCTATGATAGGTTAAAGATAGTAGTTAAAGATGACATAAAGAAGATCAACATTATTGAAATCATTATAAATATTGTTTAATTTATAAATAACTGAGTTTAATTAATTAATAATTCACACTGCAAGCCCCAAGATTTATTATTTGAAGAAAGCATACATAATCAATCAATCAATATCCATCAATATATTCTGAAGTAATAGTATTTCACATTTCTGGAAAATTTTAAGTCATTTCCATTTTCGGTTCATTTTTAATAGCTTAAAGAATATATATATATAGAAAATTTATTTCTGTTTTTGTCAAGTTTTATATTTTCAATATATTTTTAATGGTTAATTTTTAATTAATTTTTTCTTATTTTTTGTTATTTATTTGCAATTTTATTTTATTTTTGCTAATGATTATTGCTAATAACTTTAACTAAATTGATTGAATGAATAAACTTTAATTGCATGAATGAATTGCAGATTGAACATGGGCATTTACTTGAAATGAACAAGTTGTATTTTACCACCGCTCTAAAAAATATTGTGGCTTCTGTAGATAAAGGAGATTACGTGCTGACGCATAGTCCAGATGATGAAATAAAATCTTCTGTTAAAGTAAATAGTGTAAGGTTTTTTTTTGTTTTTAGTTTCTGTTTGACCCAAATTCAAAAAACCCCCATTTTTTTGAATATAAAAATATATATATATATATATATATATATATATATATATATATATATATATATATATATATATATATATATATATATATATATATATAAGTAATTATTATACCAGTCATATTATTTAAGTCATATGGTATAATAATTATTAAAAACAAACTAAAATAAAATTTGAAACTATCACTTTGAATTCACACCTAAAAAATAAAAACTTTTTATTAATGATTCATTAGAGTTTACTTTAAAAAGTAGGTATTCATGGCTAAGATGTAAAAATTAGAACATTGAAATAAAGAATACCTTAGAGCAATGAAATTTATTGGTATGATATACCAATAGATTGTTTTAGATTTTAATAAATGTTGTAATATATTTTAATTAATGATATTTTGTTAATTTATAATTAACAGTTAATGGTAACCAAAATTATCCTTAGCAAAATATAGCAAAACATTTATATTGAATATATTAAAAGAATTTTTTTTTTATAATAATTCTTTACAATAACTACAGAATGTTCAATCTGAACATTTTAGAGCAAGGAGATCCACATGTCGCACACCTGTAATTATAGAAATCAAATCAGAATATTGGCAACAAAAAATCATTATTTATTCACTGTTCAACCACATCTAACAATAGTTCAACCACAGATATAAGCTGACCTTTTATTCATTCTCAATAATTTTAATGTTTGAAAGTAGGCATGGCCATACTAAATATAATAAAAAGATCAAAGTTAGATCAGTTTCATTAATTGTTTAATATGGGTTATGTTTATAGAAATTCTGAAAATTCATATTTGGAATGGTCACAACCATTTTACAGATGATTACAAAGAATTTTCTTTATTCATTAATAAAGTTTTATAAATTTTTGTTGTTGAATGAATAAATTTACTAAAAACCTGCCAATATTTTACAAGATAGTTATAATGAATTAGGTCCCAAAAACCCAAAAGGTTATACACTATAAAATTTTATTAGCTGCTTGCAGGCAAAATTTTGTGTTTTGAATTTTTATTTTTTAGTTTTTGTTTTCTTTTATCTTCTATAATTTTGTGGTTTTTGAAAGGAAAAAGAAAGTTTAAAATTTTTTTTATTCTTACAAAAAGGTTATCAAGAACATTTTTTCACTGGAATTTTTTGTTGTAGCTAAGATAAAATTTTATCAATTATATTTATTTAGATTTGAAATCTAGGTCACACATAATAAAGTTAAAAATATTTGTTATCTTTTGTTATTGTTCACAAAAATCAATGTAGGAATGTTTTATCTGGGAAATCCTGTTTTACCATGTCTCCTGTTTTATTAAATTCATAATATGAGAGAAAAGCATAAATAATTACCATGAATTTTAGTACATATCTATTGGATTGCCATAGTCATGTCACAGGAACATAGAACCAGTTCATGGATAAACTTTGAAAACTGTTGAAAAACACATTATCTACTGAAAATACCTTAAACCTATAAGTAAATATTTCAAGTATTACATTCCAGTAACAATATGTACATTGGACTAAACACCATTTATTCCATTTAAATTCTAATGTTCATATATAAAGAAAATTAAGGCAATTTTTAATTATTCTTAATTGCATTTAAAAATAATTAAATGTTGCTGATCTAAACTGAAGCTGAGATATAAAATAATGATAACAAATAGAAATGATGATGATATTTCAAATTCAAAAGCTTCAAATTATCTATATCTAAACATCAAACTGTTTATTTTGTCTATAAATCTATTAAATACTAAAGCATATGCACATGGAATAGTCTCCCCTCACAGTTAAAATCTCTCTCTAAGTTTTCCAAATTTTTTATTAAAAAAGTATTCTTCCTTTACATTTCCACTGCTAGTTATCTATTATCCATCTTAACTTAGTACTTATTTATTATCCATCTTAACTTTGTACTTATCTATGATCCATCTTAACTTTGTACATATCTATTATCTATCTTAACTTTGTACTTATCTATTATCCATCTTAACTTTGTACTTATTTATTATCCATCTTAACTTTGTACTTATCTATGATCCATCTTAACTTTGTACTTATTTATTATCCATCTTAACTTAGTACTTATTTATTATCCATCTTAACTTTGTACTTATTTATTATCCATCTTAACTTAATACTTATTTATTATCCATCTTAACTTTGTACTTATTTATTATCCATCTTAACTTAATACTTATTTATTATCCATCTTAACTTAGTACTTATTTATTATCCATCTTAACTTTGTACTTATTTATTATCCATCTTAACTTTGTACTTATTTATTATCCATCTTAACTTAGTACTTATTTATTATCCATCTTAACTTTGTACTTATCTATGATCCATCTTAACTTTGTACTTATTTATTATCCATCTTAACTTAGTACTTATTTATTATCCATCTTAACTTTGTACTTATTTATTATCCATCTTAACTTAATACTTATTTATTATCCATCTTAACTTAGTACTTATTTATTATCCATCTTAACTTTGTACTTATTTATTATCCATCTTAACTTAGTACTTATTTATTATCCATCTTAACTTTGTACTTATTTATTATCCATCTTAACTTTGTACTTATTTATTATCCATCTTAACTTAGTACTTATTTATTATCCATCTTAACTTTGTACTTATCTATTACCCATTTTAACTTTGTACTTATCTATTACTCATTTTAACTTTGTACTTATCTATTATCTATCTTAACTTTGTACTTATCTATTATCTATCTTAATTTTGTACTTATCTATTATCTATCTTAACTTTGTACTTATCTATTATCTATCTTAACTTTGTACTTATCTATTATCTATCTTAACTTTGTACTTATCTATGATCCATCTTAACTTTGTACTTATTTATTATCCATCTTAACTTTGTACTTATTTATTATCCATCTTAACTTAGTACTTATTTATTATCCATCTTAACTTTGTACTTATCTATTACCCATTTTAACTTTGTACTTATCTATTACTCATTTTAACTTTGTACTTATCTATTATCTATCTTAACTTTGTACTTATCTATTATCTATCTTAATTTTGTACTTATCTATTATCCATCTTAACTTTGTACTTATCTATTATCTATCTTAATTTTGTACTTATCTATTATCTATCTTAACTTTGTACTTATCTATTATCTATCTTAACTTTGTACTTATCTATTATCTATCTTAACTTTGTGCTTATCTATTATCTATCTTAACTTTGTACTTATTTATTATCTATCTTAACTTTGTACTTATCTATTATCTATCTTAACTTTGTACTTGCTAATGTTGCTTAATGTTGGTTAATTACTACTAATAATTGTTGTTTTTTATTTTTATTTTTTTCTCAAGTTGGTATTGTTATTTATATTGCTATTCTATTTCAAACTATTATAATTTATTATAATTTATTATAAATAATAGATAAATATTATAATTTATTATAATAGTTAGAGTGCTCTTTATTGTTGTTATTGTTATTATTTTTATTCACATTTTTTTACATAAAATTTTCTGTTTAAGCGTTGCACTGCTTTCGTTTTTAGTTTTTCATTGTCTTAAGTGTTTACATAAAATTAGTATTTGTACTATATGTAAATATTCTATGAAATTTAAAATTTATTTCAGAATACATATAGTTTGTTTGATGATCATGATGTTCAAAATGATCATGATGCTGGCAACCCTCGAAATTAGGAAAAATGAGGTCTTTATAATTTGCCGACTTTCTTTTAGAAGTTGGCATCAGTTTGGCAAAAAAAAATTGATACAAAGGTCTTACCATAAAACATTTTTAGATCGGCAATAAAGTCGACATTGCCAAATGCCAACCCTAATTTTGAGGGCTGCGCTGGTAATGATGATCATCATGATTGCCATGATGATGATAATAATGATAGGGGCTTTTTTTCTAGGAATTTACTGATGGCTTTACTTCTACAACCCTCAACCCTCCAATTACTCAATGTTCAGACCAAAATTTATCTATTTTGTTGCCTATGGAGAATTTATCAAACAACAACGTTAAAAAAGATTCAGTTGACCAATCACTAGTAGGGCATTTAACAGATTTAAATATTTCTTGTCCAAAAAAATTAGAACCTCCTCGTGAGCTTAATTTGCCATTAAACTTTTTACCTGCTGAAAAAGTGAGCACACCAGTTGGCCGCTTTAATGTAATGCCCATAAGCGGATCAGTTACTGCTTTCAACTGTTCCGATTCCATTCAAGAAGTACGGCCTGGTAATATTTGCAGTAATCTAGAAATTGTTGCCAACACTCAGAATAATACACAACAGAATATATTAGATTCGGTTCAAAAAGTTGATTCAAATATATCTACAAAATCAGAAATAGAATCTGTGATCTGTGATCCTGCAATCATCCCGTCTTCATTAAATCTCAAAGCAATGTCCCATTGTAGCAGTACAGTTTTGGAGTTTGATCCAATTTTATCTAACAATGTAACCTTTTCATCTTCTGAAAATCCATCATATTTAGAATCATCCCAAGAACTACCAGTGTTTGACACAAAAAGTGTCATTCCAATGTGTTCCCCAAGTTCTGAAGTTCCTCCAAATAATATGCAAATTAGTTGCAGAGTTTCTGAAAAATTGGAGGTAATTGATTTTCTATAATTAAGTTTATACTTACATTTTTTGATTGTTGTTCTAATAGTTTGTTCCTTTTGTTTGTATTATTTAGAATAAACTTTTAACTTGAACTGTGTGTTTTAAAAATATTTTATTTTAGAATGATAACCATACCACCTGCTTCTCAAATATTTCAGTAAATGAAGAACGAAATGCTGCAGAATCTTTGAGTCTTTTAAAAAGTATTGCTGAAACAAAAGAGAGTCTTTTACCTTCTGATAATAACCAGGTTGCAAAAGTTGTTGACAACCAGATTGTTGACACTTTAGATTTGGTTAATGCAAACAAAGATTCTCAGTTAGCTTCAGTTGGTCGTTTTAATATTATGCCAGTTAAGGTATCGGCAACTGTTTCAACTGTACCTTGCAGTGTTGCAGTTTCTACATCACAAAATATAATTTTACCAATTATTGATAGTTCACTAGATACTTCAAAATCTAAAGAAAATATTGTTGTGATATCAGAGGTTGCAACAGTAATGCAACCTTCAGCAATATCTACTAACAACAGTGCAGTATTGGAATTTGATCCCATTTTTTCTCAAGACACAAACCTTATTTCTAATTTTAACCTGCCAGTTGAAAATTCTACCTCTTTAGGCATTCCAACAAACAAAGATCCTCAGGTTAAAGATAATTGTTTGTTGCCAGAAGCCTCTAACCTCATGTTACCAGATGCTACTCAACATATGTTGCCAGAGGTTAATCATCCCATAGAAATACCTTCACCATATCAAGAGGATAGCAACAAGATGATTTTTTCATTTACTAATAAAAAGGAGGTTAAAACATTTTTTTTGTTATTGTAAAGTATTCGTATACAAATAACCATATTATATTAGTTGTTTGTATCTATATGTATTTTTATTTGTATATATATGTATTATTTGTATAATTAGCAATAATATTTGTTTTGTTTTGTGCTTATGCTTGTAACAAATAATTTTGTTGTTGTGTGTGTCTATAACAAATAATATTGTTTTTGATGCAGTTAGCTCGTGCTAATCGGAAAGATAATATTGCACATAATATCCCTCATGAAGTCATTAAGCTTGTTTTACACTCAGACGAATATTACAAGTTAAAATTAAAGTATTTATTTATCACTTTTTTTTATTTGTTATCTGAATTGTGTTGTTTTTTATTTATTTATCAAGTATTTTTTTAGACACAAAAAAGAAAGTGCGGACCTACACAGGAAACATAATGAAGAGATCGCTAGACTAATAATGTCATTAAAGCATCAATATGATCAGTTTTTTTCAAATCAGCTTGACAATCTAGAGCATCGAGGTCATTTCGATGATGAAATTAAAAAAGAATTGATCGAGCCAAGGACACAAAATGATGTAACAGAGCCAAACGATAATTTTAATGCCGAACATGGCGCCCAAGTTGACCAAAATAAATGTGTTAGTGAAAAAAAACCACCAGAAAACGAAAACAATCGTCTTCAACAAATGTATATGCAGCAATTAGACTGTATGACGAACTCAAATAAATGGAAAGATATGAACTTTAAGTCAAATACTAGATCATCTAAACCAACTCTTAACGAACTTAAGATGAAAAGTCAAGCTCAGCATATGAATAATCAGTTATCAGATTCTGCCAATGATTCTGCATCTCGCGAAACCAATAATGTTGGAAACTCATGTTTTAATTCGATGGCTGCGTTAAATCTAGCTTCTGTTCTGCACTCTTTTGAGGTGAAAGAAAAACGGCAAAAGTCACAAACTCAACCTATTGTACCATCTTGGAAGGTAAGTTCAGATAATTGTTCCTCACTCGAAGCTGTTGCGATGAATGCTCATATTTCTAAAGAAACCATATTTAAACAGAATACGGAAAATTCTACTTAAAAGATGAAATGGCTGGCTCTTTTACAGAATATTACATTTCTAAATTTGAAGGTTTTTAAAATAATATAGGCTTTTTAATATAGTCATTTTCAAACAGTTAAAAAAGGTTTCAATATCCTTGTGTGCCAGTTTCTTAAAAATGTTACTTTTCTTACCTCTTTTCAAACCCATACTTTTCAAAGTCCAATAGAATCCTATTGATTTTAGAACCCTCGTTAAAATGAAAAAAAATTTAAAAAATGTTTTGATGCGATTTATTATTAAATAATATTTTTTTTTTTTAATTTATGTTAGAAAATGAAGCAGGTTTCAATTTTGTATTTATTTTATTTATCATTTAGTTCATTGTCTAAAATTTTAAAGGATTTTATAGGGCTTTCCTACCTTATAAAGCTGTTTAGTTAAAGATAGTTAATCTAACAGTTACACCATTAGAAGCGACCATTCGATTATTTTCGTAAAGGTAGTGTCCATCCTATTACATTTTTGATAGTTTATTTTCTTGCAACATTTCTATAGTTTCAATTGTGTTCCCTCATGCCTAAAATATCAAAAAAATTTATTTAAAAATTTACTTTAAAACAACATTTGCCGCGTGTGTTGTTGCATTTTCAAAAAAAATTCTTTGTAAATTTTCATTTCTTAAATTTTTTTATACAGATATTTTGTAATAAAAATTTGTGACTTTTTGCGACAACGTCGCATTGTGTGAATTGTTGCGACAAAGTTGCATTGAGTAAAACTCTTTGTTTCTAACTGATTATTTTTTCAAACGTTTTAAACAATTTAAAAGGTTTGGAAAAAATAGTTTAGCTCTTTGTTTTTTTTCTACTAAAGATGAAAATAGTTTTAAATTTTTTTATAAATCGTTTTTTCAGATATGTGTATTATTCTATTTTTAATAATGAAATTATAATATATGATTGTAGAAATTATAATATATAAGAAGTTTTAAAAAAAAATGTTTATCAATTTTTACTTTTATATATTTTTTTTTTTGAAAATGTTTTTTCAGAGAAAGAAATTACTGAATAATTTTTATTTGTACTTTTGCGAAACGACATTAGAAGCTAAAATACCCCGACGGGCATTTGTTTTTAAAAGTTACGTTCTAAATGTATTTTAAATGTCTTTTAAACGTCTTCTAAACATTCTTACGCAAAAAACGTTTAAAAGACATTTAAAATACATTTAGAACGTAACTTTCAAAAACAAATGCCCGTCGGGACGGGTTTTGTACTTTGTACTGGGTTTTGCTAAAAGATGACTCTGATTCTTTGAATATCTTTAGTACTTTCAATAAACTTCTTTTAAATCAAAATTCTGAAAAGTTGTTACATACAAGGATATTTACAAATAATAATTACTAATCTGAAGAATCTATCAAATTTAATAACAATAATGAATCTATCAACTTTAATAATAATTTTTCCTACAAAAGTGATCTCTAAAAAAAACTTAAATTTTCTGTATTTAATAAGTGCTTTACTAAATCTTGTTCTTCCAATTTTTAAAAACTCTGGGGAACACTCTGACTCCTCCAGTTATCGTCCAATCAGTCTTCTATTATTAATCTCTATTATTCTCTATTAGTCTCTATTATTTGGTCTTTGAGTCGTTAAATAAATAAATTTCTAATATCTTATTATAAGTCTAATAACTTACTCTGTGACAATCAATACAGATTTGGATCTTCTTGTTCTACAGCTGACTTACTAACTGTTGTAACAGAAAGATTCTATCGTGCATTAGTTGAAAGCGGTGAGGTGAAGGCTATTTGACTTATCAAAAGCTATCGCGGTACCTTTCGGGCACCTTTTTGGGTAATCCTTGGTTCTGTATTGTTACTTATCTTTATAACAACAGAGGCATCCCGAGGGATGGGGGGCGTAGGGGTGTCTAACTCCCCTAGGAAATTTATCAGTCGGCAAAATTGGATATATAGTTGGCAGTCGGCAAATGTTAGCCAACAAAGACTTTTTTTTTAGTTGGCAAGAAAGTTTTCCTTGGCCTTAGTCAGCAAAAAACAGATGCGTCCCCCAACATCTTTTAAAATCTCTTCGGGACGGCCCTGCATAACAACATAAAGTGAATAACATATATAGTGGGTCTATTTGCTGACGACTCAAATTTATACTAATATCTTGACAAAAGCTCAATATTTTCGAATGCTTAGAAAAAGCAATCTTGAATTGACCCCTCTTCTACAAAAGCTTTTTCAAAAGGGATTTGCAGTGGTTTGTGAATTTTAATCATTTATAAGCAATACTTTTCTGAAAAATAAAGAGACCAGTTTTAAATTTTGAGAGTTAAAGTTTATTTTAATAATTTTTTTTTTAAAGTAAATACAAAACATTTGCAATGTTTTTATTGCAGTTTATTATTGATACTTTACACTTTAATTACGCAATTAATATTACAAATGGTTTTTGTTCCGTATTATAGATGAAAATGATCATAAACGGAGTCAACAAAAAAGTGAATACTATCAATGGCTATAAAAGTTAATTGTCAATTACTAAAGACTTTTGCTTAACTTTAGTTTTAAATTGGTGAAGATAAGTAACACTTTTAAAAGTGTTTAAAATTAAAAAAAATTTTAATTCATTATTCAATTATGGGAAATTTACAAAACAAAAAAAAAGCATAATATGCATATTTTCTACACAAAAATCTTAAGTACCATTTCTTTAAGAAAAGATAAATAAATATTTGGTTTGAATAGAGGAAATGCTTTTTTCACAGGGAACCTTTTTTTAAAAAGTACTTTTTCTTTTAATAAACCGATATTAAAGTTATTCAACGCTGAAAACTAAGAAATTATGTACAAATGTTAAAAGGTTCCCCATTCTATTAAATTCCTCATCCATTTTTTTAATTTATAAGAAAAATTTCAAATGAATTTGATGTGTTTTGGTACTTAGGAATCCTTATCTTCAAAAACTTTTTTTGAAGAAACGCTTCCGCAGCAAGTTTTTTTTTTACCAATAGTGGTCTTAAGAGATGAATAATACTTAAGTGAAGCCATGTAAAACATAGTACTTTCTATACATCGTTGGAAAGAAATTGCGTCAAACTAATTGATGCAAAGAATATCATGATTCTAGCTTAATTAAAAAATAAAGATATAAGAGAGTCAAGTTCATGAAAATTACGTGTTGTCAAACGTCAAATATTTTTCGTTGCGCTGTGGAATTGCTTACTATTTTATTTATTTTTTCTGAAATTATTTTTTAAGATTCTTGTGAGTATAATTAGTTTACTTTTTCAAAAATTGATTTGAATAAGACAAGTGCCATTTTTTCAAATAAGTTTGAATATAAAAATAGGACTTTGGTAAGAGTTTTGTTTAAAAGCGATGAGTTCACTGAGTATAAATCGGTAAATTTTAAAATTTTACGCACATTAGTGCTGCACTTCCATAATTTAGGGAGCAGGTTTAGTTCGATACCTTTTTAGCTTTGTATAGGAGACCTATTTTATTTTTCTTATTTTATTCTGGATTGTACTTATGTTCTCTCTTCACGTTGCATTACCGTAATGGAATTACTATAACAAAAACAGTAGCGTACCGAGAACTTTTGCCGTCCAGGGTGGTCTCCAATTTGCCACCCTTGCTAAGTTAATCAAATGGTGATTTTTTCAAATTAATAAACATAAATAAATAGTTGTAATCGAGAAAAACTATAAATTGGGACTTTTTAACCTCATACGTTGATAAAGCTATAAATGCAACTTTTATAGAAATACAAGGCTTATAGAGGTTGCAGATTCCCCACCTACATAATATATACCTAATTAACAAATACAATTAATACTTTTTCATTATTATTAACCAATTGCAGAGATCATATTTATTTACTTACTCTTCTAACTTTCTTAGTAGAAAAATTATGTATAATGCTTTTCAATGATTTCAAAATTTATGTTGTTTGTAGTTTCTTGTTCTATGGACAATATTACAAAATTTTGTATTCTTAAATTACTAATTGTGAAACGAAGATAATTTTTTCATCATCTTTAACTTGAAGAAACTTCCTTCGCAACTAACCACACTGGTTGCAATTGTTATAAACAGAATTTTCCAATCTATACGTTTGAATAAATTCTTTAAGTGCGACTATAAAAATCTGGATCCTTTTTCTTTCGATATGAAACTGTAATAATGTCAATAAGGTTTTTTATTTGACACATTTTTAATTTAGTAGGTTGCATGGTATACACAAATATTTTTTTGCGAAAACATGTCAAACTAATCAAAGCGTTCTTTCATTTCTTTTATAATTTTATCTATAGATAGAGAGACATTTCTCTTCGTATTTCTTGTTTCATAGATAGCCCAACGTTTCTTGAATTTTTCCAATTCATATTTTTTCACCTACTTTAGTGGGTATCTTTAAATCTTCTCAAGTCGTTTAGCAGTTATAACAGCGTATCAGCGCATTTCTTACTCTTTGTTACGTAAAATAGGTTTGCACAGAATTTAGTTTATTTGAACGTCATAAATTTCCAAAAGGACAGGCTCCCCTAAATTAAGATAACATAGAAAAGATTGCATTGAATTGAGTACATCATATTGACAAGTGGAAGAAGAAAACAATGAAAATAATTGTTCGATAATTCCAAAAAATGTTAAGGAACCAGTAGCAGTACAAGCCGCATGAATACATAATAGTTTTAAAGAATGATTTGTACATGCTACAAACTTTGTACTTGGATTTATTAATTTAACACGAGTTTAAACACTGTTGTGCTTTCGTTGTGGCGGAATAGTATCGCAAATTTTTTATTGTCGACAAAATTCCCGTTTTTACTATTTGGACACTATTCCTATTTTTTGTTTTCGACACTATTTTTTAAATTCATTTGCACACTATTCACTATTCCTTTTTTTGTTTTCAACAATATTCATTAAATTCATTTGCGACTCAACCCTTTTTTTTGCAACATTAGGCTTTTTTAATATATTCGACACTATTCTGTTTTTTTTTAATATATTCGACACTATTACATTTTAAAGTTCTACAAAATTTAACTTTAACTATCTTTTGATAATAAATCCATAAATCGCATTGTCAGTGAAAGTTGTTCTACAACGTCGGGAGAACTGTCAGCTGAAATGGAATAATACTTCAATTTATTTTCGCGCGATATGATTTCTGACATCAATTTTTTGAAAAATTTTTTCTTTTTCTGCCTTCCATTATCTATATTCTGACCCAGATGGTTTTCTTTTAATAATATTTGACATTTTGCACTAATCAATTAAGTAGATATCAACAAAAATATATATCAATAAAATCAGCAACAAATTAAGTAAATCTCTGTAAATTCAAATATCTTTGAATTAATCACAGTAACTCTATTTGAGCGAGGAATTTCTTAATTGCGTTAGCGCCTAAACACTCATCGAGTAATGACCACTATTAATAACAGTTATTTCTAATACTAATAGTAATCAGGGCCGACAACACCGGGTAGACCGGAGCCCCCACTTTTTTTCTAAAGGATCTTTTTTTTTAAGAAAATTTCAGAGATAGAGGACTGTTTTTTTTAGAAATTGACGATTGTGCCCCTCCACTTCTTAACCAGTGTCGTCGGACATGAAATTAGTGTTAGAAATTTAACGCTGATTAACTAATAGCTCATAAAACGTTTTTTAGTTTAAATTTTTTATCGTGGTTACAACCCTTGTTTATGTTCAAAGTATACCCAACGGACATTTGTTTTTAAAAGTTACGTTCTAAATGTCTTTTAAACATTTTTTAAACGTTTTTTACGTAAGAATGTTTAAAAGACGTTTAAAAGACATTTAAAATACATTTAGAACGTAACTTATAAAAACAAATGCCCGTAAGGTATTTGTAGTG